TTATGTGATCGGTATCGGTGATCGGCCCTCATGGGTGATCGGTATCGCCAGGAAAAAACCTGATCGGCACATCTCTAATTGATTCATATTTAGAAGATGAGAGACAAACAGCTGGGTGCTACAAGTGGTAGGATACATGGGATGGGTAATACATTTAGAGCTCGACATGCAGAATGAAGTCTGAAATTGCAAACATTCATCCACACTTCTTTTAACTTCCATATTTCTATGGGAAGAACCATTGCTGTTTTATAAGTTATTCTTCTACGAAAGTAAAAGAAAAAAAGAAAAGAAAAAAAAACAGTTATTTGAGCTCACCTTCCAAACAAACACGATGCAGTCAGAGGAAACTCAGTCCCGTCTCCTCCACTCCTCTTAATAACCACTATTTTACCATGCAGGGGCATTTTTCCAGCGTTTACCTGAGAATGTTAGAGTAGATAGAAGTTAATGTGTGAGAAATGAGAAGTCAAATTTGAGCTGAACATAGCGGTAGGAATGTGGCGTATTGTATTGGAAAACATAGAAGCATGAAGAAAACCAAATAACTCACATTATTGCAATTTCGCCGTATTTTATTTTATTGCTGTAAAGGCTCGAGTTAAAACACCGTGCCAAGGCCCACGTGCAAAGTCGACACAAAAGTTCGGCTTTGTGGCCTAAACTATCAAAAAGAGGCATAAATATACATATTCTCAGAAGGTAATTATGCTACAAGACGAAATGTGTCCCTAGGGTACGTAAAGTTTTATCACTTCGCTACGTTATCTATTGACGTTAAAGTCTAACGTATCGAAGCTTACACGCGAAAATACCGTTAAACAATCATTACCGGTAACCTCTTACCTGTAGATCCGTTCAAAGATACCTCGTCTTTCGTCTATCCATAAACATAAACCTGCTAAAGACTATGATACCTTTTAATTTTAAAATTCCATCATAATCAGGCTAAAAACAGAACTAACCACCCTACCTACCGACGAGTCTTTAACGTAAGCTACAGCGGACAGCAGTCCCTTGTGCTCTGTCCTCTTCCGTAATGTTGCTGCAAAATCCCTCCGCACAACTTCACGCGCACAGAAACTAACAAAAATGTCAGCGTTAACTAATTCCAATTTGCTTGTCAAACGTACTCTTTCATGTTACTGTGATTTCACAGTGTGTTATTTTTTACGCTAAAAATCTAATTTTAACAACAGGTTACTTAAAGGGACTACTTTGTTTACAAATTTGGCGGAGCAATCTCACTACGTGGAAAGAATCGGAATTTGAAAAGTATTTGAAATTCCGCGCGAAGGACTCTCATTGGCTTAAGATCAGCTTTACAGGGAGGGCGGGGCTTAACTACTACAGTGAAGACGAAGGTTCTTGTTACATAATACTTTTATGCAAAAAATGTATTTTTACGCACCTTTTTAAAAAATGTGTTGCTTGACATGGTACCGAGTTGAGGGTGCTATGAAGGATAATTTGTTCCTACAGTTCTCAACACACAGATACGCAGCAAAATAAACTGTGTTGCATATTAAGTTTTAGCAGCAAAGTTATTCTAACAAGCTCAACTACATTTAGAGGTGAAGGCAACACAAGTAGTGAATCTGCCAATCACATGTCAGCAATATACATGATTTTGGTGTTTAGACTTGGTGAAAAGACTTGAATAAATCAGACAGAATGTATCCGTGACAGTAATTATTAAACACATTGCGACTTAGGTTAATCTGTTAATCTCTCCCACCACAATCGCTTATATTAACAGTGAGTTGGACAAAACCAACTGCGTTTATGCCATTTGGAAACATGGCAAATATTTAGTTAGAGGTGCTATGACTAATACAGGGGGAGCAATAACACCCTCACCATGGCGCCGCTGCTGGATCATCACTATGTCACAGACGGTAACAAAAAAAATAAACAAACAAAAATTATTAGACTGGCTTGAGCAATACGTATTTTTAAAATAGCTACTAGTATATCATAAGTCTTTCATTTCAGCTGCATTAGTCTTGATCCCATATTTTGAAAAAGAGGAGAAAAAATAAATGACAGGTCCGAGATTGATAAAAGCTGACAATGAGACAAACCCAAGTACTGCCATCTACTGGCCAAAACGTGTAAGCGCACCACAATGTTCGCAGAAACCCAAGGTACTCACAAGAATATTTTAGCATTTTCCCCGACCTCAAATAAGTCAGTAAGTACAAGGTTGAGTAACCATCTAAGTTCTCAATGATGCGAGATTAAAAAAAAAAACATCATGGCAAAATAAAAACATACAAGTGTGCACTTTCTTCTACACCAAGGAAGTGCATATGTTATACATTCATAGACTAAACCAAATATGTTCTCCGTTGCAGTAAATTAAAATAAAACCAAGAAGTTCATGTGTTTCTGTATTCAGTTTAAAATGTCAACAGATTAATTTCACTTGGAGTGGTTTGTTTCTTTTGGCTATCTTTGCTTGTCTTGGTTGTCAGAGACTGTTGGACAACTTTAAAACCAGACGTCTTATAATGTGATTCATAACATAGAATTTCTCTATTAAAAATACTTTTTATATTGGTTTTGTGAAATGTTGAAATTTCTGCAAATTCCATCTAACAGTTACACACTTGCTGTGGCAACAGAGTCAATTCCAGGATCTTCTCATGGCGTTTTCCTTTAATTGTGTACCAACATTAAGAATCTATTGAAAATGGTGACTCAAAGTAAGGAAAAGTCATGTCAGAATATGTTTACCTTTATGTAAAAATAAAATCACTACTAAATGATAATGTAGAAAGGAATATCAAGAGATAATTCTATTCAAGCCTACTAATGACCTTCGGCAAATTTATGGCCATTACAAAACGAACAAGAATTAATTCTTAAAAACACATCACTGTGTAATAATAATCTGTATATAATTATACAGGTTTGAGTTTTGGAACTGAATGCAATCAATATTTACATAATTACACGCTTTGCAATGGCTACAGAAGAACAGATTATTCTGAAATTTACCAAAAGAATGACAGAGACATTTCATTATTAAATGTTGATTTTATTTTTTTTTTAATCCTTTTCTTTTTTCTTCAAAGTTCCTTGATAAACTTGACAAAACTGCAACGTATTCCATACTTCTCAAGCTGACGGTGTGTCTCTGTTCTCTGTGAAAGGGGGCGGGGCGTTGTGCGCTGTTCTGGACACAGTCCTGAAAGGATGAAAGCAGCTATATATATTTTTTTAATTTTTCATACAAATGAAAGGTACAAATGAGTCAGAAAGACTTCACACGGACTTCCTATGTTGCAACATCGAGAGGTTCAGAGTCCGAGTCTCTGCACGAGTCCTGGCGGGCCAGGATTTAACAAAAGTGGGTGATTGGAGGAAATATTCGGGCGTGTGTGTGTGTGTGTGTGTGTGGGGGGGGGGGGGGGTTTGGGGGGGGGGGGGGGGGGGGCCAGGAGGAAAAGGGGGGACCACTTGTG